TTGGGAGCAGGAGTGAATGCAAGAACCCAGCCCAGCCGACATGACTAGCCACAGTGCACCCCATTGTGTCATGCCGCCTGCATTCACTACTGCTCCCAATGTATGCATGTAATGACTTTCAGAGAACTGTTCAATATTGGTGGGGGTGTGAAATAAAATTGATGATTTATTGTTAGTATGCAAGCATAGAACTACAAATATCAACTTATTGAGTATTAGTCCTCTTCTCTTTTAAAAACAAAAGGGGAAACGCTCTGTTATATGTGGAATGGATTTTTGCGCAAAATACTTTTCTGCGTTGTAAGTCTTCGACCGGGCTTAGAAAAAATAACCCTCATCAGTCCAGCTCCGACTACGCTTACCCCAGTATCTTTTACAAATAAGTCCATATTTCAAACCGAATTTATTAATAAATTTTTATTCGAAAGTTTGAAATCTTTATTTAAATCTAGCGTTTACTCGTTTGACCAAACGCGTAAATAACAATTTATTGAATCGGGTTACGCGTTTGGAAACAATAACCCAAAATTATTGTACAAATAACTGAACCGTACCCAACAAAATACCTTTTGTTTGTTCAAATTTCGATTCTAAGTACAAAATGGGTTTTAAATAAACAAAAAGTTAATAATGAAATTTGAAGGATTTTAGATATTGGTTATGGTAGCACGAAATGTCTCAATCTGCTTAATTGTCAGGTTGTTAATATGGCGACGAAAAAGTGACAATGGAACTACCTTCTTTTTTGTATCATGATTTTGCCTATGAAGGTATTCAGTATTACCTAAATAACTAAAATTTCGATATTTCTGTGTCATAAGTTAACTATTATCTGGGAATCCTAAATTCCACAGCTATATACTTTACGATGAATGGTATTTAACACAGACACTTCATTGGAAAATATTAGGACAAAGTTAATCGCTTTTGAGAGCGATAAAATATTTCAGGTAAAAATTCTTCTTTTGTTGTACTTCCCAGGAATAGAAGTACAAAAATGATAGGTAAAAGTGCACTTTAGCGAAATCAGACAAAAATTTATTAAAAAAATTCAAGAGGTATCAATCGACGCGTTTTAATGCGAACAACAATAATCCGAGACCGGAAATTCACATTTTTGATTCATTAAAGAGTTATTCGCAAAAAACACTTGCACTTTTCGCACTATGTTTTGATGAATTTGATGCAAGTAAATGGAGTAAATGAACTCAACTGAACACATATTCATTCGTTTTTAAACATTTGTGATGTTTTAAGTGTACACTTTCGCGAAATTCTGTATTTAATAGCAATATTCCGATGATGAAAATCCGCACAACAATCTTGCGTAGTTAATATAAATAACATGGAGGAAAACTAGTGTTGCCACTCTATTAAAAATAAAATGGAACTAAATTGCTGCTGCCACTCTATTAAAACAGTTTTTTTGCGTCCAACTCCTTTTTGCGTAGGCGGCCTTCCGCCGCGCTTAGGGATTATAACCCTCACAACGTAGAATTCTCCTTTCTGTGTTGCCAAAGAAAAGGGGCAAAACACCTTTTGCAGAGAACACGTTTTTGCGTAAGTTTAGGGATTATAACCCTCACAACGTAGAATTCTCCTTTCTGTGTTGCCAAAGAAAAGGGGCAAAACACCTTTTGCAGAGAACACGTTTTTGCGTAAGTTTAGGGATTATAACCCTCACAACGTAGAATTCTCCTTTCTGTGTTGCCAAAGAAAAGGGGCAAAACACCTTTTGCAGAGAACACGTTTTTGCGTAAGTTTAGGGATTATAACCCTCACAACGTAGAATTCTCCTTTCTGTGTTGCCAAAGAAAAGGGGCAAAACACCTTTTGCAGAGAACACGTTTTTGCGTAAGTTTAGGGATTATAACCCTCACAACGTAGAATTCTGCTTTCTGTGTTGCCAAAGAAAAGGCGCAGAACACCTTTTGCAGAGAACACCTTTTTGCGTAGGCGGCCTTCGGCCGCGCTTAGGGATTATAACCCTCACAACGTAGAATCCTCCTTTCTGTATTGCCAAAGAACACCTTTTGCAGAGAACACCTTTCTCCTTCCGCTTAGAGATTATAACCCTCACTACGTAGAATCCTCTCCTCTGCGTGCGAAGAAAAGGAACAGAAATCCGCTTTTCACAAAAGTATATTTCTTGTGCATTATTTGGGTGTTTTTAAAGTTGAAATACAAATTGTATTAATAGAGTGGCAGCACCAGTTTTCCACCATCTTTGTTACATTCAATACACAAGATTGTTGTGCGGATTTTCACCATCGAAATATTGCTATTAAATACAGAATTTCGCGAAAATGTACACTCAAAACATCACAAATGTATAAAAACTAATAAATACATGTTAAATTGAGTTCATTTATTCCATTCATTTGCGTGAAATTCATCAAAACATAGTGCGAAAAGTACAAGTGTTTTTTGCAAATAACTCTTTAATGAATTAAAAATGTTAATTTCCGGTCTCTGATTGTTATTATTGGCGTCAAGACGCGTCCATTGATACTACTCTCGAACTTTTTCCGTCAATTTTGACCTGGTTTCGGTAAAGTGCACTACTACCAAATTATAAGCCAAAGATTTAAATACGATAGTTTCAAAAATGTCTCCTTATTACTTAGCCTGGTAGAATTTCACATACAAGTGTAAACAGTATAGAAACAAAATTACTAACACCCCTATTCTGCAACACTTGCGTATTCAGATTTTGCTACGAATCGTAGAAATGGTATGCTGCAACCTGTGTTCGAAGTCCGAGAAAATGCGACCCTGCTCGGTTAGTTTTACCATCCCTGGCTTCAACTGACGTAAGAAACATATGCTTTGCAGCTAACCTGGCTATGTATACATATTGTTTACTTTGTACTAGCAAGAATTCTTTCAATAAATCTAAATCAGATATAGTCTTCGGCTTAGTGTTTATTTTTTGAAAACCGACAAACTTTTTACATTTTGGCAACCCTTGCGGGGAATCCACGGCTTTGGATACTCCGCTGCAAAAGTTATTGGCAGCGTTTGCGCATAAAAAACGAGTTTCGGAATCTGCTCCGCACGCACGTGTGGTGGGACTCCTACAACATAACCTCACTTTAACATCGTGCTGCTGAAAT